TCTGAAGCTTTTGAGGATTATTTGGAAAGGTTTGAAATTTGGTGCATCACCAAGAAAGATGTTAAAAATGATAAGATTGTGGCACATTTCTCGACATTCATCGGAAAGAAGCATACAGCTTATTGAAAACTTTGGCATATCCAGAAAAACCTGTCTCACTTCCTTATGCAACTCTTAAGGAGCTATTATTAAATCATGTAAAGTGCACTAGTTTTGAATGCCGTGAAAGAGCAAAATTTCATAAGATGATCCGTCAAAATGACCAAAAGGTTAGGGAATTCATCCTTGAATTGCAGAAACAAGCTGCCAAATGTAATTTTGGCGATCAACTTCATGTGCAACTGGGAGACCGATTAATCGCAGGAATCAACATACCGGGTTTGGAAAGAGAGCTGTTAAGAATGCCCAACTGTTCCTTTCAAGATGCTAGAACTGCGTGTATTAACTACGAGGCAGTGAATGAACTTGATATCCAGTCGATGAATATTTCTAATACTTTGCTTAGTCGTCATGATGGAATACAATCTCAGGGTCAATCAAAATTGCGTTCGTTTAACAGTGGCTCGTACTCCCGTTTAAATATGAAAGGTGTTTCAACAAGGAATTACAAAGGAAATCACAAAGGTGAGACCAAGTTTGGCAAATTTTTATCATGTGGAAAACTTCATTCTCGTAATTCATGTTCATTTCGTAATGCTAAATGTTTTAGATGTGGTAAGATAGGACACATTCAAACAGTATGCAAAGCTACTGTTCATTTTGCCTCAAGTAGTACTAAATCCTGCAATTTAGATCCCAATAATTCATCTGTTCCTAATGATCATTTATCTTTGTCTACCATTTCGAAAGGTAATACTCATATTCAAGATCGATTATATCCATCTCTTGGTTCATGTCATGACTTTATTGTGGACACAAGCAGCATAGAGTCCATTTTTTCATTCAAGAACTTGGAATCTTTAGATCCTAATGTTGTGGCACTACTCACTGAGGTATCAATATTGGGGATTACTGGACACAGACTGCCTATACGAGGATGTTGTAAGTTGCTAATAAGAGATGATAATTCTTCATACATACCTTGTGAATTTAAGTTACCGAAACAGGACTGTCAATACTGGGCTTAAGGAATTTGAAAAGGCTTAAAGTGGAGCTGTCTTTCCTAGTTTCTAAAGAAAATAATGATGCTTTACTTAAAGATTTGATAGCCACGTGTGCTAAGTGCAGTGGAGATATGAAAATTCAGCCTATAAAACTTCAAGTACAGGGTGATCCAGTCATTCTTAATAGACGAATAATTCCTTATGGTCTTCGAGATGCAGTACATAAGACATTAAACGATTTGTGTGCAAAGGGCATAATTGAACCGGTTCAGTCTTCAGCATGGGGTACTCCTATTGTTACGCCACTGAAATTGGACGGCAAGACTCCTAGAATATGTGGTGACTATAGATTAACATTGAACTCCCATTTGTTAAAGCAAACATGTACGACAGTAGAGGCTGAAGATATTGTAAATCGACTTCATGGTTCTAAAGTGTTCTCGAAATTTGACCTAAAAGACGCTTATCTTCAAATCCCTTTAGATCAATCCTCATCTATTTTGACGACAATTAAGACTCCTTTTGGTCTGTTTAAATACAATTTCCTTCCATTTGGTCTAAGTTGTTCTCCAGCTATATTTCAGGAAGTCATGAATAATGTAATTAGTGATCTTGAGGGCGTTGAATTTTATCAAGATGATTTGATTGTCCATGGTTCTGATAAGGTAGTTCATAACCAGAGACTTATTGCTTCATTGCGTCGTTTAATTGAGAAGTATATTACAGTGAATCCAAATAAGTGTTCATTTTGTGTATCTAATTTCGAATGTCATGGATACCTAGTTGATGGTCATGGTTTTGGACCAGATATGAAACGACTAGCTCCACTGACAAATGCACCGTCTCCAAAAGATCTTACGGAACTACATTCACTATTGAGTGCTCTTCAATACTGTTCCCGTTTTATTCCTAATTTTTCTTGTCGTGCAAATTGTTTATTTAATATTTTGACATCCAATTCATTCAAATGGGGTGAGGAAAAAGAGTCAAGCTTACGTAGTATACTAAAGTTTCTTCAAAGTGATGCTGTTCTTCGGACTTACTCTCCTAGTGTACAGTCTGTGCTTATTACTGATGCATCACCTGTGGGTATTGGCGCAGTTTTGGAACAGGAAGGTAGATCAGTTATTTGTGTTTCACGCAAACTTACCGTTACTGAACAAGGCTATTCGCAGACTCAGCGAAAAGCATTAGCTGTGTTTTGGACTGTTAAAAGACTTTATAAATATTTATTCGGAAAGAAATTCACTATTGTTACTGATCATGAGGCTTTAAAGTTTATTTATCATCCTGAAGAAGCCTTAGCACGTTCCTCAGCTGCTATGGTTCAACGATGGAGTATTGCTTTGAGTGCCTATGACTATACGGTTCAGCACAGAAGTGCCAAACAAATTCAACATGTTGACTACATTTCTCGACAGTCATTACAAGATAAACCTGTAAATACTTCAGACTGTTTGTTAGTGCAACCTTTACCAGTGAAACGTCCAGATCTCGTTAGAGAAACTCGTAAATACTTTGGATGTATAATTAATGCTATACAGAAAGGTTGGAATGCTAATTTGAAACGTAGATTTCCTATCTATTTTTCAAAGCGGGATGAGCTATCTACTACTCCTGATGGTATTTTGTGTTTAAATGATCGTGTTGTTATTCCTCCTTCATTGCGTAAATCTGTCCTAGAAGATCTTCATGGTGGACATTTAGGTGTTGAAAAAATGAAGTCATTGGCGAGGCTCACATGTTGGTGGCCAGAGATAAATGCAGATATTTGTCGTACAGCAAACAATTGTGAAAAGTGTCATAAGCTGAAACATCAGCATTCGAAGTGGACTCTATGGCCAGTATCGTCTGAGGCCTGGCAGAGAATTCATGCAGACTATTGTGGTCCGTTTCTTGGCAAATACTATGCGCTTGTAGTTATTGATACTTTTCAAAGTGGCCTGGAGTTTTTTCACAACTTCACCAAATTCTGACTTCACAATTCAAGCATTAAGAAAGGTGTCTAGTCAAGAAGGGGTTCCAATGGTGTTAGTGACTGATAACGGCTCTCATTTTGCTGTAGATGCAGTCACTACCTGGTTAAATGGTATAGGGTGCAAACATCTGTTTACTGCTCCCAGACATCCTTGTTCCAATGGTCAGGCAGAAAATTTTGTCAGGACGTTAAAAACTGCTATTGATTCTATTGCCGCCTCAACATTTAATGAGCTGGAGAGGGGAGTAGATACCTTTATCCTGCAATATAGAAATGCCAGACATTCGGTGACGAAAGAGACTCCATCAAAGCTATTAAAAGGAATAATTCTTCGGTCGAATATGAGATGTTTGGAGTCTGCAGAAGTTACATATTATCGTGGCAATGATCTTCGACCATCCACGGGGATTGTTCTGAAGAATGTCGGTAAATCTATGCTGCGACTTCTAGATAATAATGACTTAAGTACAAACAATCGACATGTTGATCAAATACAATTCCAGGAACCACGTGAGTCTGTTCCTATTTCATTTGTTAATTCTAATACTAATGAGTGCATTCTAGATAATACAGAGTCTCTATCCAATACATTGTCGGACAGATACAGTATGAACTTGAGAAGACGTACAATTGATTACAGACACTTAGACTCTAATTAAGGCTGTGGCGAATGGGGTGTTTGAATGAACTTGTAGTGGCACTGGGCCCTAACACAAGACAATACGAAAAATAGGCATTCAACATTTAACGCTGGGAAACACCGAACAATGAAGAAAGGCGGGAACAGTGAATTGAATTAATACGAGTTGGTCAGGTGGCATGGCTCGGCCTTGCGGGCGTGGTCCCAGCTAAATGTTATCTTGTATCTTCTTTTTATATTAAATATATTCTATCTCTAGCCTGAGCTTGTTCTCTATCACTTATTGGTAATCGTTACATTGCAATGAATCGGTGTAGACGATGGTGTAACTTCCACGTAAGATATTATAGATTAGGCAGTTACATCATGATAAATCTACAATTTTAGGATTAGGTCTATTATTAGAGCAGTGCTAATATCATAGTAGACCATAATTCTACAAACTAATGACTCCTTTGTACTTGTTGAATGCCTGATTTCGAATTCTAAATACAATACATTCGTTCGTGCTTATCTAGTAGTTCATGATCCACTTACGTGATTTCTGGGATTATTAGTTCATACTATAATTCAACTACTTCTAATTATCATAAGATGACAAACAACTTTCTCAATTCCTGAACACGGTGGGAACAGTTTGGTCATAATGATTGACCCTGACTTAGATTTTGTGATGCTGTACAAGAACTACTTACAGTGAAGGCTTAAGCCATAAGAAATTTCAAGCATCTTACCTGCGTTCAGAGATAATTTGCGCTTCCGCTAAACCTGTCTTAGTAGATAGACTTATTACCTGGTGATGTGATCCACACTATCTTCCCATATCATCTTTTTTCTCTTATCTTCCAACTTGTCGAGTTTGAAACCCTCCTTCTAGTCAAATGAAGTGAAACAAATAAACGTCATTCAATCTTTTCTGTATAGACGACGAACAAATTCGTTCGAAAGATGATATTTGGCTGCGTTATGACATATAATGTTTTCGAATCTGAAAGAGTGCTTCAATATAAAATCGAAAGTGCACAATTCCACTAAACGTAAGAAGCACAATCAAAAGGGCAACGCTTCAGGGGTATCGTCCACTGACGGAGGTTGCGAGCACTTGAAGGTCAAACTGTCTCAAGATGATTGGTGCGTCACATCGACAACTCATGAAGTTTTTCAGAGGCGGTCATATCAAGACATTTTTAGATTTGAATTGAGTTCAACCACACCATATCTGATAACGTTCATCCTTCAAGTAACGAAGATGATGCCATCGTAATGATGCATGATATAGGACGAATCTTCAATGATATCATGTTATCTCGGATATTTACAAGTTGGGTTAATTTCGAGACCTGTTTGAAAGAAGTACATAAGGTAATATGACTTCTGTGGTTAATGATTATTTTTGTAGTATACGCATACTAGGTACGTTATGTCAGTATGCAAAAAGAACAACGATGACCCAACTCTAAAGTATCTTTACGTGAGATATGTTTGTACATATGGAACGAACTGCAGTTCGTCAGAGTCAGATGCTTGCGTTCAGGATGTGGGTGATGATAGTGATCATCATTCTTCCGAAGAGCACACAACTTCTAACTCACCCCCACAACCTAGACAAAGAAGACGACGTCGGTCATCTACGTATGCTTTGCTTCAAATTAAACGTGTTAGGTCAATGACACACGAATGTATAGCAGGGGAATACATCCGGTGCTACGACAAGGGTATGATGTATGTTGTTGATACTTCACGTGCACGATGTGCTTGTGAGCCTTTCAATGACTACATGCTGCCATGTGGGCATATTCTGTATGCACATTCTAAAGATCTAATAAGTGGAGGTAAGTGTGTGTTCTTTTGTCTCTATAAGCATTGTAGACTTATTTTGACATAGCAGCCGGTGGACAAGGAAATATATAATGGACTTGGTTCTTCGTGCGCTGGACAACATGTCAATCTCTACCGGGAGTGATGATCTGCTAGAGAAGTTCACTAACAACTACCACTCAATCCATGCTTTTAGTGAACCCTTGGCAAGTAAACCCATCCGTTCATGCTTCGAAGCATCGGAAGACATATGCGCACAAGTGATGAGTTCAATCGGTGCTAACGATGAAGCTACATCGTCAGAATCCATTGTTAACACTGACCATAGCTATGCTTCTTGATGACAAGAAGTTCTAAATTGTAATCTTTTTAGTTTTACATAAATTTATTTATATGTGCATTAACTCATTCTTATAGCGTTACGGTAGGGAGAGTGTACTGTGCAGTCTTATGTGGCTGTGAGAAAGGGATGTTGTTTCACGTTCTTGTGTAATAATTACCAGTTTAGCGCACACGCGATTAGTTATACGCACTGTTTACCAAACACTGCAACTTTTAACATGATTTACTATACTACTAGGTCGAATTTCGACTTGTCACGATAGGTAAGCATTGCCGTAATTAAAACACTGATGTGTTATAAATGAGAACGTTTATTAAAGTTTAAATCCAACAAAAATGATCCATTAATGAATAACCTCCAGTTCTTAAGCATTGTTCCAATTAGGTCTGTGAACACTTGTGAAGCCAGCAGGAAATAAGATAGACAGGAAATAACTATTACATTATTATATATATATATATATATATATATACATATATATAAGACTGCTATTTGAACTTACTTTGAATCGTCCTGTATAATCTGCAATTATTGGTGCCTTTTTTTATTTTAGTCTCACGCAAGGTATAATTAATTGTCATTTACGGCATCAGCATATGAGCTAGCCAGGCCTTCGGTGATTTTCGAAGATCATTATATACGATCTCACACAATCTGGTCACCTGAGATCAAAATATCTTGATTACCCAATCGTACTTTCCGATGCTCTCTTGTAACCGCTTTATAATAGCACTTATTTCTGCTATTAGCTATCTTTGCAAGAATACCGGCAGCCTGAACATTGGAACTCTGTTCAAGAGGTAAGATACTACCTATAAGCTAATTAGCTTTATAAAGCAATCTTAGCTTACTCTCTGGTAAAATCTCGCATGATTATGATTTATTTCCTGCAATATAATGATTCGGTAGCTTATATATCTAACTGTAGAAGGTGATATTAACATATTGGTAAGTGTTATAACCATCTACAGCATATACATAATATTGACAACACTAAGGACAGCTAATATTTTCACTATTAGCCTATGTCTGCCATAAAAGTCGAACAAAACAGTGAAAATCAGCCAAAATTGTAATAGAGAAGGGAAAAACGATAATAAATGTTATCAAGGTATCGTTAGTTGTAGCGCAGTTTTGGTAGCCTTGACGACAATACAATTTTTATGACAATATATGCTTAGATAATGTTATTTCATGTAAAAATAAACGATTTGTCTGCTCTGAGTGTATAGTTAAGTGGAAATAATTGCCAGTCCGCGATGCAAATACGAAAAAACTATTATAGTAGCACCTGATTAATGAATTTTCAAAGACATCGCGATACCATGTACCGCAAAGTGAAAAAACCCCTTTTTACTTAATTATGATGACGGAAAATAAACTTTAAAATTTAATCATAATAAATTTCAAATTTTGGCTGTGCACAAAGCAGAAATGAAGAAGTAGCGCAAAAAAGTGTCGCGATACCCCTGGAGCTCTGCCAATCAAAAGGGAAACGGATCCATAAAGCTGCCGCCGAGATTAAGTAACAACTAAAACAACATAAATGTAGTTACTACACACTAAAAATGCTATATGTACAATCTAGCAATGTAAGGAGTGTAGGATCATGAGGTGTAATTGTGCATATACCATTTCATATAAACTCTTAATAATAATAATAATTTATTCTCAAATAACATTTTGTTACATGAGTCATGCCAGTTTACAGGCAAGATCAAATTGTTACAAATGATACAATTTCCAACTGTAGTAAATTAATCAGCTGGGTCTATAATTTATAAGATATGAATGTAGAATGGTTTTAGTCAGTATCACAGTTAGCGCGCTTCATGAGAGTTGCGTTGCGACGTGCAACTGACGGTCGATACTAGATTCATGTGCAGTTGAGGGCTTCTAGAAATCGCAATCTTATATCCCTTTGGAATATTTGAGTCTTTAAAGATGGTGCAGGACGGGGTCACTCGTTCCGTATCTCAAGGGGGCTGAAAAACGGTTCAAGAAAACAAAAAAAAAGGACGAGAAGCAGAGAAGACAATGTTCATGAAGAAGTGGTTGAGGTATGACTACTCAGTCTGATTCTCTTTCATTAAAGTATTTTAGTAAGCAGGAGCATCCTAATAGGTTAAAGGAAATAACTGTAGACAACGTATGAGTGAATAGTCGACTGACAAATGGAGGTGGTTCAGAAAGAAACTGAGAGTATGAGAATATGTAGTTATAAAATATAGTGCTAAAAGCAGTGTTACGATACACAAATGGCTGTCTCCCTTTTTTTGTCGACGCTATTGGAGCCTTTTTTAGATTTTATAGGGTCTTGAGTAGGCTTCGGTTTTTTTTTATCGAATTGTCTAGTTTGCCTGTAATAGGATTACTGGGTAGGAAGTTAAACCAATTTAACATTCTGAACACGATTTAAAGAGGTATTTTGCATGATAAGTCATCATCAATACCACTAGTTCGTGACATTCCAATAGCCCAACCGTCCTCCTCCAGATCACAGGATCACATGAGTAAAGAAGAGTTTGAGAATCTACAGTGGGGCTGACATTACGTGCTTACGTCTGTTAAACCTATTCGGGGAGCAAAAGCCACCTAATAGCACTCCCAATCTAACCCTGTCCTAGGCAATCCTTCAAAGCTGTTTCCAGTTTCCATTCATCCTTTTGATGTCTGCTTACAATTCTCGACACAGTGTGTTCTTTGGCCTTCGTCTTTTCCGTTCCACTTTAGGATTAACAGTTAGCTCTTGCCTCGTGATGCAGTTCGATGATTTCCACAATGTATGTCCCATCCATCTCCAACGTCTCCTAATTTCCTCTACAGCTGGAAGCTGGTTTGCTCACTCCCAGGTTGTT